ATAAAGGTATTATTATGTGAATAATAAAATGTCATTTTTGCGTATCTTAAACACTTTGTGACGTCATGAAGGTGGGATAACTTTTGTCTTAACAAAACCTTTTTTGATTGATGCAAGGGAAAGATCAATACCCGGTGATTTCAGCGGGAAGTGGCGTTTCGTTCAGTGGATGAGCTGCGCACGCACGCATAAATGTGATTATCCAATATAATTAGGGGAGGGCTATTTGAAGTAGTTTTTGGTCTCAGGCGCGACCCAGGGCTGTTGTCTTAAGGACATTTCGTTGAAAATGAGCCATTCGGCTGATAATTGGTAAGAGTTTGCGATCTTATAATGTATAACTGTTACTCAGACACATATTTTGACACGATTCTGTTGGAAATAAGCTTTGAACCGAGAGATATTCACGATTGATATGCACATTTTTGATTGTGCCATTGCTTTTCTATTGCACAATCCATGTATTGATAGAAGAAACATTAATAATGCAGATTGGTTTACCTTCAATACATGGCAGACACTACATATCGGTCTATTAATACCAGTTTGTGCCTTAAATAGTTTTATATTTCCATCCACGGCCTGGAGCCTGGGTGTGTTTGTCTCTTATGTGTATGCTTGTGCATGGACTTCTAATCACTAGCAGAATTTAACATGATGCAAACTCGACATTATAACTCATGCTGTAACATTTTGACTTCGCTGGAAAACAATAGGAATTATTTTTCTTGCCAATCAATCATGAATCACAATCAAAATTTCAGAATGATCAATCAGGCAATTGTCCAAATCAAGTTATAACATTATATGATATTCAGCAAGAAGTCCGGTAGAAATACAGAATATTTAAACATCAAAGCTGAAAGTTAAAAGCTAATCTGTCAATTTTCTGTCTGCAAAAGAGCGTTTACATTTGACACAATAACAGACTGAGGCTTTGAAATCTAGGATTCCCCAGGAAAATATGACGTCATACTAATTAGCATAAGGATTTCCCTATTGGTATGGGTCGAGCCTTGTTCGAAAACACAATCCATAAATACATGCTAATTTCTAAGGAGATAGGAAGTGTATAACGTGTTTATCGATTTTGTTTAAAGATTTAATCAATTATCAAATTGTTTAAGTGGATAAAGTGGTCACACTTGCTTCAATTCATAGCGAAATCGACGGATAGAAACTGACCGAATTCCCGATATCCTACCCCGTATTACTGTAGGCTATAAGCACAGTGACCTACAGAGGGCGCTATCACAAACAAGTACTGCACGAACCGATAATTTCCCGGGTATTGTAACGCCCTTGATTGATGCGCCTAGAAATGTAAAATGGGTTTATTGGAGAGGGTGGAGGCTGATCAAGAGAAAGAATAGCAAGTGACTTTTTAATTCTGTATATTTCCTAAGAAATTTCCAATATGCGTATGACGTGGATGGTTATTGGTGCAGAACGTTTTGATTTAAAACGGCTTTTTTTAATAGGAAAAAACAGTTTGATTTGTTATTGCACTTTTTTCATAATACTAGGCAGTTCTCTAGTATTATTACAAGCTTGTGATTTTTTTCTGGATCGTTCGAAATTATAACAGAAAATCAAATATACTAGTAATGGCAGATAAAGTTGACTGAACTTAATATCGATAGGCTAACCATTGAGGTGTGTAAATAGTGAGTGAACGTCTATGGGCTAATGTAAAAGTTATTCCTATTCTGTGTAAATTGAAACAAATGTCCGGGAGACTGCAGCGATATAAAAGCCAATGGATTATAATTCATTGAATGAAATATTTATATGCGACTCTACGCTTTTGGATCTTGTTGTAAGGCTATAAACAAAATGCGTTATTACGGTAGCTATTAAAAAACTTAAAGTCCCCGTCTAAAGTTTGAAAATATTTTTTTATCATTCATTTACTATTTGTCAGGACTTAAAAAGTGATTTTAGAGATTTTTGAACAAACAATTTTTTTGAAAAAAAAGTTGTGAGCATTTCATTTCTCAAATATTCAAATTTCCCGCCATTTTTCAAAAAAAGTTGAAATTTCTTAATCATCAAATATTTCTTAATGCATTTCAAAAAAGATTATCTTTTTAACACCAATGCAAAGATTGAACAAAGGACACACTATTTCAATAATAAAATGCCATATTTAATGGGCCACTTCACTGTTTTAGCATATCAAAAATATTTTGAAACATTAGTGATGTCACTAAGGTAACCAAAACTTTTTGAAAAAAATAGAATTTCTTTTTTCGATGTCAATCTTTTCTAAATATGCTAGACTTTCATAAAAAACCAATGTTGATTGTCTAACCAGGTTAAAAGGAAGTATAAATTATGTTTTAGATATCATTGTACCATTGGTTTCTATGAGAACTAAAATTTTGAAATGCATTTTTCTCAGAACCATTTTCATGCACTGATAAGTTCATTTCTCGCTTGTTTATCAACCGATTTTCTTAATTTTTCGGCAAAAAACATGGGAGGATGAATGCCATGCATTGGTATGAATTGTGGCTAATTAGAAGATATGAGTGACCTCTAAAAGTTGGTTTTAAATAAATTCACAAATTTTGGAACAAAAAGTCTATCAAAAACCACTTTTTGAAATTAAAAAAAAAAGTTTCACATATCACACTTTGATAACATTGGGTAAGAATACAATATAAGCCAAAGTGGTTTAAACTTTACATGGGGCCTTTAAGTTAAAGAGAATAATGGAAATGGAAATGTTGTTCTATTCATACAGGGAGAAAAAATAAAGTAATATCAGAAGAGTTCAAATTGCAATCGAATGCCGTTCTGGATGAATTGAAACAAATATTCGAAATGCAAAATATCAAAGCAAGGGCGAATCTAGAGAACATTTTTCATAGTATAGGCAGTCTTTGGGTTGTGCACCTGATAATTTATATGCAAGATCAAACCGATAGACGACTGAACTTTCTTTTCCAAAGGAGAAAATAGGTTAACTTACTTCACCTATCTTAGAATTAAAGGTTGCAACTCAATTACTTTAGATCACATTTAATTGACTTTACAGTGTTAAGGATAATTCGTTATCCATCCCTCTTCTTCAAATGGCATTTTAAAAGCAACAAGTTCTTTTATTGTCTCCTCAGACATCGCAAATTGTAATCAATTACATTGCTTTGTTTAAATGGATGATCTTTTATCGGTATAACCTTGTAATTCTTATACTCTTCAGACTTTTATGTTTCACTTAAAACAAAACATAGTACCGTTTGCAGTCGTTTGACTTCGCTTCGTAAAAGAGAGCTTCATCCGCACTCGAGGGTAATTTAGAACTAGACTCTGCATGTGGGCAAACAAAACATTGCTCTCATGGCTGAGAAGTAATGCCATGGTTTATCATGATGTTACCTTGTGCATCATACGAACACTTATTTACCCTTTGCATTCGTTCGACTTCACTTCTTGAAAGAGAGCTTCGTCTTATAACTTATCAATTAATAGTTTATAACTAGACTGTGCGCGTAGGTTAACACTTATTACTCTATGCGCATCATTCGAACACTTATTATACTATAGATACACATCATGCATTCGAACACTTATACTATGCGCATCATTCGAGGATTTATTATGTCTATGTGCATCATTCGAACACTGATCAGTATGGGACGCATTAGACCTTTCTGTTTTCAAATAACCATCAACTGTCTTAAAAGGAACTCCTACAGTGCTGAGAAGGTTGTGAGCTATCATGATCTGTGTTTGCTTGGAATTTAGATCACTTGCAGTAAAATAAGATCAAAACAAATCTTAGAAATCCAAGATGACTAAAACATGAAAAACAAATTAAAAGTTCAGCGTTTAGCAACCGAGACATTTTAGAGTTTCACCATCTTTATGCATTGCAAGGTATTACCAAGTAAGGGGGGGGGGGGTATGTTCGATAACGATGATGCATCATTTGGTCCAGCAACTGGGTGGATATCGTTATATGCTACTGATAACGCCCGGGTATTGATACCATTACTAGTAAGCCTAGTATCCCGGGCCTAGTATATAGGGCATGGACGTAGCCAGGGGGATGCAAAGGGTATGAGGGATGCACCTATCGCACCCCTCGTATCGTGGAGGATCTTGGGGGCCTGGGGGCACGCCCCCCCCCCTTGGGCGGGCCCAGAAAAAATTGGGCCCAAGCAAAAATTTGGGCGAACAAAAGGCCCCAGGGCACTAAAAAGGGCCTTTTTGGTTATAACTGGGCCTTTTAAGGCCTTATTTTTAAAGTTCAGGCCAAATTTTGAAGGAAATGGGCACGGACGTCAAGTACGTTTCTGGCGAAAGCTGGAGCATAGATTATTTAGAGGACTGGAAACAAGATGGCAGTCTATTTCAATTCTGGCAGTTCATTTTGGCCTATTTCTCACTATTGACTCAGTTGTTCATCTAGTTTTACTTACCTTAGATGCTTAGTAATCTATTTAGTATAATTTTGTTTCCAAAATTATTGTCATTTGCGATAATTAGTACTAAAAGTACTTTGAACAAATCAGCTGCCATTTGCTTGGCTTAATCGTACCAGTCTACAAAAACAGTGAAATCATATTAAAGATACCAATTAAACTTTAAAATTGAGGCAGATGCGATACAAAAAGACTCTATTAATACAGATATACAGGTTACAGTCACCAAGATGAGCTAATTTCAGGCGAGATTCGGGAAATAAAAAGGTAGGTCATTCTGGTTTCCAGTCCTCTAAATAATCTATGCTCCGGCTTTCGCCAGAAACTTACTTGACGTCCGTGGAAATGGGCCTCAAAATTTCATAATTTGGGCCCACTTTTGGGTTTTATGGGCGGAAGTTTTTTCTCTGACCTGAAATTTCCCCCCCCCCCACCCTTGTTGGTTCCCAGATCCGCCCCTGCCTCGCTACGCCTATCGTATATCCATTTTCAGCCGACGGAGTAAGAGATTTGGGAAATGCTTAAACCCGGGTAACTCTGTGTAGAAAGGTATTTTCGTGCAGTGACGTCACGATCCAATATGTCTGCGCCCGTTTGTAGTTAATAAAATCTTTAAAAGTTTACATTTTCTTGGGTTTTAACTCAAATGATCGTCTCTACAATGAAGAAAATATTAGTAATAGGAAGTGGAATGACAGGAGCAACTACAGCGTGGTTGCTAAAAGCTGTCAATCCACACAAAATCAGTATATCACTGTGGGACAAATCGAGAGGATCAGGTTTGTTTTTGATTTTGATAAAATAATTATATGTACTCAATTTATCGCAAATATACTGAGGATATGTTAGATATAACAAAATTTTCTCCCGTTCATGGCTTGTTGTTGCTGAACATCAACAGGTACCTGGTACAGCACAGGAATTTGCTGCCCTGTCAACACTCATGCATTCGGCGTGATTGTCACGCATTTGCTGTCGAAAAAAATGAAGTCACGCATCAATTTTGCTTGCATGATAAAATGTCAAGCAAAACAAGCATTATGTTGATATTTTAAAAAAAAAAATCCTCTATAAAATGCCGATACGGTAAAAAAACGAACATCGTCCGAAAGAACGCTTCAAATATGTGTATATGTCACGCATTTGCTTCGAAATATATTGAGATGCTTATGCCAGATCTGAGTCAATATATCTGTATGCTCAGATCTGACATAAGCAACTCATAGAGTAGTGCTATTAAGTTCCTTGTGGTACAGTTTAGACCTTAAAGAGGGATGCAGACCAATGGAACAGCCAAAATAACTGAATTTTTGATATTTTCTCAAAGCTAGTCAATTTTCTCAAATTTCATATTGATTGAGAAGATGTATTGCTTCAGATTTTGTTATGTGTATCTTTCAATGTTTTGATGTTTATATTCTGCTTTTAGATTTTAACTCCATCATTTTGTTTGGTTGTGATAAGACATTTAAAAACAGTAATATCATTGTTCAAATGTAAAAGTCCTCAAGCTTAGCCAATCAAAATCAAGTATTAAGCAATGCTGTTAATTAAAGGTACCAATGCTGACTTTCTGTGCCATGTTAAAGTGTGGATGTAACCTAATATGTTAACTGGTTAATGGGAGTTGCTAGCAACTTTAAAACCCGCCTTTAAATAAATGAGTCATTTGCTGAAGTGAGGATAACCAATCACAGGCATTTTATGTCATAAAAGCTCTCCGCTAGGTGCGCTTGTTGTGCATAGCAACGTATATCATAGCCGTAGGGACCAGGGGTTCGATGGGTTCGAACGAACCCCCGGTCAGGGTTTCCCAAAAAATATTTGCTGAAAATTCATTGCAATAACCAGAAACATTCATTCAATTTATATGAGCATAATAAAGTTACACTTCTCTCCAAAAGTTAGGCACGGGATAGGAATGTCTAAATTTGGGAAGACCCCGGATCATCATGACATTATGCAAAGAAATATCAATAATCTCGCACAATTTATTTTCTAACTTAAAAGCTGCTTCACCTCCGGTGAAATAAACCAACTGTCTTAATACTGATGAAACACATTTTCTTTCAAATCTATGCACCTTCGATTTGTTTTATTTCAAACAAAAATTCCTGTCTGGAGCTGATAAGTCCCCAAGAGCAATTATTAAGTAATTTTGAAACATTTTGAAATGAGTTATTATATAAAGCATACATGTATGTATCATTTATAAACGCAAGCATTTGATCGAATGGGTGTAGTATTTATTATCCATCACTTCGATTTCTTATATTTTTGAGAATAAAATTGTCCAAAAATGTAAAAATTCTGAAATTGAGATTTCTGCCTTTGCCATTATTTGAGGCATTTCTGGATTAGACTTGCACACATTTCAAATCGTGTGTCCAAAAAAGGATTTGACAGCATTCTTTAATAAAATAAAAAAGCTCTTTTCTCAAAACAATTCTCGTCATTATTAATAATAAAAAAACGGCGAACATTGATTATAGGGAATGGAATGTTTTCAAAGTTATTAAAGAGAGAATCAGATCTAGCGAGCAGCATAACAAAATATTGTTTCAATCTTAGAATATTTCCTTTTCATGTCTATTTTCTGAAAATTCCTATTGTTTCAGGAAAACTAAGAATTTTACAATAATGTATTATTTTCTATAAGAATGGTTACCATTCTTATTACTTAGGAGAATTAAAAAAAAATCACCAATTTTTGCACTTTGGATCCATTATAACTTCACTAATTCAAAAGATATTGTGAATCATTTGGGAGATATTGTATTTTAGATCATAAGGAATAGATTGGTTAGGTAGGTGAATTGTTCATGTTACTTCGAAATGTGTCACTCCCATAGATCTGATGCTGCCTTTAAGTACAGATTACTTGTTTTCAATTCAAAGAAAGAAAAATAGGTATTTTGAGCACTATGTAATCTTTGTTGCAAGGCATTGCAATTTAAAAAAGGTTTACTTTTAGCGAAATGGATATCTTGAGTACCAACTGAGACTATTTGTGTAGTAAAAAAGACGTTTATATGTGCGCCATGATTAAATAAATACATGTATTACTCTTCGAAATTTATTTGCTATTAAACATCCACTATTCAGTAACTAACTATAGGTGTTGTGACTCTTGATTCAAAAGCTCACCTATTTTCGAAATGGCCGCCTTGTTGTCGAGGAAAATTCACCTTTTATGAATTTATTGTAGTGACTTTATGAATAATTTCGAATGGCCTGCATTGTAATACCTCACGTCACTGTTATAACAGATTTTAAGCCAGACCTCTGTTGATATTATTTTAGTTTTAGGTTACCTTTGACATATTGTATTGGTATATTGTTTAATAGTATCCATCAATTCATCCATCCATCCAAACACCCACCCACCCATCAACCCATCCACCCATCCACCCACCCATCCATCCATGACACAATGAAAAGTAGAATTTTCCGCTTTTTTATTGTTACAAAATTTATGGCGTCGTTCTGAATATGGTTCAGGGTTCACTACTACATCATATTTACATTTTGAGGAGGGAAGAAGAAAGCATTTAGACCTGACTTAGGTTAAAGAATAGTATTTACTGTATGAAGTAAGAATATCAACTTACCAAATATTTCTCAAGTTTATACAATGGCATTGTTGCCACTATTCATGGCTTTCGTTTTGGCAAGAGAACATGTAAATATTTTCCTCTGTTTATTCATAGTAGGCTTCTAAAAAGTTTTTAAAAAACTAGATGTCTGTGTTGATTTTGTTGTCTCGTTCGTCAAAACAAGTATCCTGGTTTCTAACGAAACCATTCGTCATTTTGTTGACTTACTTTAATTAAATGAAGCCTGCACGATCATTAGACTCCAGATTCTTCTTCTTTTTCTTCTTCTTCTTCTTCTTCTTCTTCTTCTTTTTCTTCTTCTTCTTCTTCTTCTTCTTCTTCTTCTTCTTTTTCTTCTTCTTCTTTTTCTTCCTCTTCTTCTTCTTCTTCTTCTTCTCCTTCTTCTTCTTTTTCTTTTCTTCTTCTTCTTTTTTTCTTCTTCTTCTTCTTTTTCTTCTTCTTCTTTTTCTTCTTCTTTTCTTCTTCTTCTTCTTCTTCTTCTTTTTCTTCTCCTTGTCTACCCTTTAAATGTCAAGGGTATTAGTTTTATAGGAAATTTTCTCATTAAATGTTATGGCGTTGTGTAATCTCAAAAATCGCTAAATTTGGTTCCCCATGTTAAATGGGACCAAATAATTATTTGAAGTGTAAAATTACGAGATATAAATTAAGAACAGCTAAACAGAATGGAAGCCCATAAAAGAAGGAGACCTTAAAAGCTTCTTTTCTTAAAAATTTGAACACCAAAATGCCTAGGCCAAAATCTAGGTCAAATTCATTGTTTTTCCTTATATTTGCGATTCTGACACTACACTTTAATTATATTCTTCGAAATTGTGTATACATGTAGTTAAGAGTGTGCTAATAGTGTTAGCCTTTTGCCGTCAGAAAGTATTTTGACCCACTTTTGAGATATGGTGTCGGAAAAGTAGGTCAAAATAATAAGTTCTCCAAATTTAACGTATGAGTTATGAAGGAATGAGAGAATTTTCTCAGAAATCTGAATCTGCAAACCAAATTTCGATCTGTTTTCAGGTTCGGAAGTTATGGCGTTTTGAAAACTCAAAAATTGCTAAATTTGGTGCCCCATGTTAAGTCAATTGGAAGAAAAGATTTTTCGAAGTGTAAAATACGAGATATAGACTGAGTACAGCTTAATATTATGAAAGCCTTTAAAAGAAGGGGACCTCAAAAGCCACCTAGCTTTAAAATTAGGATCCAAAATCCCTAGGTCAAAATTTAGGTCAAATTTATAGCTTTTTCATATTTTTGAGATTCTGACACTATGATTAAATGATTTGCTTCAAATTTTTGTATACAGGTAGCAAAGAGTGTGCTTATAGTGTTAGCCTTCTTCCGTCAGAAAGTATTCTGACCCACTTTTGAGATATTGTGTCCGAAAAGTAGGTCAGAATAAAAATTCTCCAAATTTAACGTATGAGTTATGAATTAAGGGTAGAATTTTCTCAGTAATCCAAATCTGCAAACCAAATTTTGATTTGAATTCCGGTTGTGAAGTAATGGCGTTTTCAAATTTCGAGAAAAATTGTTCTGATGGTAGCCTTATAGAAAGTCAAAAGTAGTGAAGAAATATTGAAACAAAAATACCAGTGCAGTCCATTTTCAGGTCCAAGTCCAAGTCAAGGTCCAGGTCTAAGTCCAGATCAGGTCCGCGTCCAGTCAAAGTTCAGGTTCAGGTCCATGTCCAGTCCGGTTCCAAGGCCAGTCCAGGTCCAAGCGCAGTCCAGGTCTAAATCCAGTCCAAGACCAGCCCAGGTTTAATCCAGTCAAGGCCCAAGTCCAGTCAAAGGCCAGTCTTAGTCCAGTCCAGGCCCAATTCCATGTCTGAATCCAGTCAAAGTCCAAGTCCAGTCAAGGTCCAAAGCCAGACCAATCCAGGTCCAAGTCCAGTCCAATGTCTAGGCCCAAATCCATGTCCAAGTCCAGTCCAGGTCTAGGTCCAAGTCCAGTCCAGGTCCAAGTAAAGTCCAGTCCAGGTCCAAGTCCAATCCAGGTCCAAGTCTAGACCAGGCCAGCTCTAAGTCCAAGTCCAGCTCGGAGTCCACTCAAGGTCAAAGTCCAGTCCAGTCTGTCTTTCCATCCGTCCGTCCATCTGTCTGTCTAGAAACCCCAGAAGATCTGTCATCTGGAGTCTGAAATTGAACTTGTTTCCCCAGTCTAGTTATTAGTATTATTACCACCGTTTATACATATTTATCAAGGCTATACAAAAATAAAACGCGGGACATATGTAGGTATCTAAATATAAGGTTAAATATCGCTGCGCATATATCATGTCACCAACTCCTTAATTAGACGTCCTAGAAATTTCATTCCATGGACTACCACTGAAGGAGGAGATTTGTAGATAACATAAAACATAGAACCCCTGGTCACCGAATCCTGGCTACGCCACTGTATATGAACATCACATGGATGTATAAGTTCAACCCGTGGTTTTTAAAGGAGACTTACAAAAAACAATATAGTCTATTAAAGGCACACTTTGTGTGTTTTCAACATTTTGTGGCAAAATAAAGTCTTACGTTTAAATTTCATAGTATTTCCAATGGATTGATAAGTACTTTATCTTTCATTTGACACCAAGAACAGCTCAAACGGGCCACATCGAAGCTTGTAAAGTTATCAAAAAAATATTTTTATATATCAAGTTTTCACAATGTCAATGAAAGATGGCAAAGTTGTCTGTATTACATGATACATTCATTTTTATTATAGACGTGTCACCATCTTTTAAATCAAGAGTAATTTAAAACATGCACATTGTCAAAAATGTGCATGCACTTCTAATGATCTCTGAACTTCAAATGCTGTTTTCCACATGAGCTCTTTTTTCCTTGGTTTAATATTACTGCAAATCAAACTTTGTATCATATTTAATTGAGTGTGTGAGTAATATGTTTCAATGATTTCTTTTTTCTTTTTCTAAATTAACCATAGTGGGGCTTTAAGTAGTGTATTCTATTGAGGAGTTAGTGCACATGCACATATGAATACATTTTTATCCCAAGAATTGGTATTCAGCTGACTTTTGTGAAGCAACCTACATGGTCATGATGACAAATTAATGTCCAACCATCATTGCACATGTTGCAGGTAACCAGTTAAATCACAGCAATTGTTCTTAATTTTTTATAGGCACAAAACTCATTCTATACATTGTAAAGAATATAGAAAAATAATTACATAACGGTTATAATAAACAACATGGTACTCAAATTGAGTCTGGTTGTGTAATTCAATTGTCTTGTATTTTCCATTACTTGAACAATGTGCTCTTCAAATAAATAGGAGGCAAAAATAAGCAAAAATGTGAGTCGTAATGATAGAAAACAATTTTGAAAGTGACTCTTGACCAAAAAATATAGTTTTTTACATGTAGCGTTCAGAGCTTTGGTGCATCACATGCATTGCATTGATCATTGAACTTTCACATGTTCACATTCTCTGATTTATATAATAAATTAGGGACTATTTTGACCTTATATCCCAGTTTATACTCGGTAAGTATATATTTTGTACAATTGAATTCCTTTTGATGGTATTAGAACAGTATTTCAGGCCTAAAATGCGAAGTGCAAACTGATCATTGCCCATCTCAAAATATATTGTTTTTCTGTCAGTATTCTCAGTCTTTGCTCAAGATAAAATTATACATCTGACATATTTCCATCTTTGCACATTCCTCAAAGGTAATCAAAAAACGATAAATTACTGAAATACTGCCAAAAATTAGCTCAAAATTGGGGGTTCACATAATTGCCGAAGAAGGTGGGTTTAAATTTTTTAGGCAAGATTGGGGGGCCCTATGGCCCTGTCATATTACTTTGAAACCAGTAATTTGGATTCATACTTCTATAGACTATCGACCTTTACTCATTCAAATACCACTTTAGATGTAATTATGCTATTTTGCAATCTATTGTATTGAATTTTGCTTCCCCTGCGAAAATATTTGTGATATCCATTCATTATAAAAAAAAGTTAAAGGCCTAGCAAAAAAGTATGGGCATTGTTTTGGCCTGCCCTGTAGTTTGATTTCTAACCAATAAATAGCTTCAAATATCACACATATGTATAGAACATGTATAAAAGTCATTTAGAACGAAGTCTCTTAAAGCCCCACTATACTTAACTTAGAAGAAAAAAGAAAAAAATTATCATTGAAACATATTACTCACACACTCGCTCAAATATGAAACAAAGTTTTATCTGCTTTAATATTGAGCCAAGAAAAAAATAACTCATATCGAAAAAAGCATTTGAAGTTCAGAGATCATTAGACATGCATGCACATGCTTAACAAAGTGCTTGTTTTTAATTACTTTTGATTTAAAAGATCGCGACACTTCTATAAAAATGAATGTATCAACTTCGTTATCTTTCAATGACATTGATAAAAACTTGATATATAAAGCTTGACAGATCGAGAATATTTTTTGATTAATTGTTATAAGCTTTGATATGGTCTGTTTGAGCTGTTGTTGGTGTCAAATGAAATTGGACATTCTATAGAATTCAAATAAAAGCCTTTATTTTGCCCAAAAATATGCAAAGTGGGCCTTTAAGAATAAATGTATAGTACACTGAATATCAAATTCTTTTTGTACCAGTGCTTTTGAAATAAGCTATAAATCTTTATATGTATGGATTTCAGGTTATGGGCTTTTGAGAAATGGGATTCAGACTAATAGTTAGGAGTGTTTTGAGATTTAGAGTTACACGATTTAGAGAACATCTAACGCAAATTGTCGAGGCATTTCTTCTAACATCACTGTCTCTCTTGTCTTTATTTTATTAGGACATTATTGTTATTGATTGGCTTCTAACACTATCACCTTGATAGTTACAACATCATTGGAGGTTAGCCATGGACCATTAGCACAAACAAATTAGTTTAAACTCAAGCCTATACTCAATCCAAGTTTCTAATTTTTCACTGATCAGACCAAGGGAATTTGGCCCTTACATTGTGGTTTAAGCCATTTTATATTACTGAGAATGCAAAATTGAGTCATGTCATTTTCACTCACTAGCAAATGGACACAATTTTAATAAAAAATATTTTGGGTTACCTTTGGAATTTCATAAGAAAAAGTGAGCTTTCTGATTTTATTAGCAAGAAAGAATGATAGATTTACAGTATGATTCATTCAATTGCCATGGCAGGAATATCAATGTTTTTAAGTAAATGGTCTTAAACATTGCATGGTAACTACATGTAATATGAATGTACATGATGTATGTACAGTAATATTGCCAATCACTCTTGGTATTGAAATCAAGATATTATAATATTTGAGACTTTATATCTTCAGCCTACGTGCGATGCATTACTGAGATGGTATTTATAAAATATTAACCAAATTCGGAGTCTTTTATTTCAGATATGATTAAAATGAAGAGGAAAGTACTTAAAGTCCCATATTGAATTATTCTTATCTCATTTGTGCATTGTATTAATAATTAGTGGCAATAAGTGCCAGCATTAGTTCTAATATATTGGCTAGTGAAAGATTTATGAGTTAAACTTGACCCTTTGAGAGAACTTCGAAAGTGTTGTAAAAGGAGCTCACTTCAAAGGATTTCACTTTTTACCATGTAAAATAACCATTTTCTGTTCAATCTAGGAAGAATACAAATGGTTTTCTCTTCAGACAAACAGATAAGAATAAAAACTTTATGGAAAATGCAATGATCAAATTGTATGTTAATTTGAGCAATAATGATTAGAGAGTATACAATGATATGATAAGTACGGCAAATAACACCTTAATCTCAGTAATCTCCCATTGAATATTTTCCAAGAATTTATTTTTGTTAATAGAAGCACATGCCGATTTTGATCTCGTAAATATGCCTAGATGTGTTCAATCCTTGGTGGTCATGACCTTCCGTGTAATGGATATCATGACATTCATTTTCACGTTATAATGTACCAGTATTTTCTTGAATATAGCCACTTTGTGAGCATGGTTAAAAAGATTTACTGGGCTTAAATGAAATGGTGGATATTAGTGGATTAATGAGAGTATAAAATGTTAACCAAAATTTTTAAAAAGCATGCCAATATTTTCCTTAAAATTCATCATTTTATTTTCTGAGACAATGTCGAGATTCTGATCAATAATAGATTCTGAAGATTAAAATCAAAGGATTATTCTGAAATATGCCAGACCTGGACTTTGGGAAAAAAGCATGACATGAAAAAATGTGACAATTTTTTGAATCTCACTCAGCCTCTCCAACCAGTGTGCTTTCTTGTAGTTAAATGCCATTTTCTGCTTTATGTAGGAGGCCGCATGGCAACCAGTAGAAGTGCAGACGACCCACAATCAACTGTTGATCTAGGGGCACAGTACATTTCAATCACTCCAGAGTACCAGCAGAAGCATAGCAGGTATGTGGAGTACAACATATCACATAGTCACTAGCATGAACATTAGTCTACATGTCCTGTATAGCTGGGAATAGAAATGACTGGGGATTGAGGTTGGGGAATGGGATGTGAAATAGAATGGAGATGGAGGCTGAAAATAAGATGGCAGAAGGAGAGTGAAAGGGAAGAAATGAAGTTCATGGGATATATTGAATGGCTCCGTCCATCTGTCCATCAGTGCATTTGTATGTTCATACATCCATCCAGGCAATAACTGAAATACCATCTACCCAAATATCTATTTTTTATGTAAATACTTACTCTTTCCAATGATATTTTTTGCAAGTATGTGGCCATTTTTGAATATGATAGCCATTCTTATGTTTTATTTTCTTAGAAGAATATTACATTTTGGTCAATTTTGGTCAATAGCTAGGTAGCCATTTCCAAAAATGGCAGAATGGCTATTTGATGGGATTTGCTCCACCTTGGTATTGCTGTTATCTAGTATTTTTAAGGGTTATCTGGAGAAAATAAATTCTAATTAATGAATGGTAAATCTCCAATAACTTTCATATTTTATGAGATATCTCGACTTTTTGTAATACTGTATGAAATAGATTTAGCACTATAAGGGAAACATTGGCACACATTTATAGTACAGTAAAACCTGTCTAATCCGAACACTCATGGGACCAGCCAAAAGCGTTCAAATTGACAGGTGTTCAAATTTCGAGGATTTTGTTGGTCGGGGGGGGGGGGATTTTCATTGTTCAGTCCACTATATTGAACACTTAATTAATACTAAGTCGGGAAACAATACATGTTGTTGATGAGTTGATTCTACAATAGGCCTATAGCCTATATGCTATGTTTTACTTATATTTTGAACAATTTCATCATTTTAGTAAAAATAACTCTTATTTTTGGCAAAAACTTTGTAATACACTGTAAAAGTATATGATAGTCTCGTACAAAATCTTATGCTTATCAAATGGCTTATCCCATATTATGGTTATATTGCACTGCTTTACTTTTGCTTGAAAAAGTCCTTCATTGTTGTTTGTTTCTTGGCACTTTTAGCATGAGCAATATTTGAGTAGATATCCTCTGAAAGTAAAAAGAATTTTTCATGAGTGTTCGTTCGAGATGATGTATAGTCCCTCAAAATATCAAGGGCATTCAGGATGTCAGATGTATGCTTTTTTAGGAGACATTTTAGGGAAAGGACATTACGAAGTTGAATTTTTTCTCTTCTCTTGATATAATCTTGTCTGCAAATGGTGTCTGTGTTGTCTTTGTGATTATAAAACATTTACTGATTGAATCTTAGCTATCATAACAGACCAATGGGATATAAAACAGTTAAGACCTGTTCACAATCCAAATCAAAAACATCCAGTTAATTTACAATAAGGATAAACCATTTATCTCCCAGATTCTCACCTTTCTCTTAATCCAAATCAAAAACATCAAGGTAATTTCCAATAATGATAAACCAATTATCTTCTTGATTCACACCTTTCTCTTAATCCAAACATAAAACATTCAGTTCTTTTCTAATAGGATAAACCAATTAACTCATGTATTCACATACCCTGTGTGCAGAGTCTAGTTAAACTACACTCTGCCTAGTAGAGACCATATTACAGTTTAGTAGCCCCGCCCCCACGATGGGTAAGTGTGACAGTTTGGGTAAATCACTTTTGACCTACGCACTGACCTTTCACCAATCAGCGAGCTTAAAGAAAAATATACGCCAGATGCGTTCTAATTAAATATGCGCATGTCATTGGTCAATTCCGGGCTCAACGATGACGTCAGAAGGAATGATCATAAAAAGAACGTCGGTCAAATTTGGCCGACGAACACTGATTGGCGCGGTGAGTTCACAGGTTTATTTTAGTTTGAAAGAGTGAAGACGAAGCTCTCTTTTAAGAAGTGAAGTCAAACGAATGCAAAGGGTAGTATTCACACCTTTCCAAAACATCCTGTTCTTTTCCACAAATAAGGGATGTCACTGAGTTAATTAGGACAATTGGTTCTTTGATTACATTGTATCTGTAAAGATAAATAACACCAATAACGTTGACTCAATATGTGGCTTTAATTGAAATGTCCAGACATTTGATTTCTGATAAAAATGTTCAGATTAGACAGGTCATTTTTTCAAATCTGGTTGTTCCTGTTCAAACTAGGTAGGTGTTCAGATTTCAAGTTTCTTTTAACATGGGAGTCAATGGGAGGAAAAAATGGGACCGAAAAAAGTGTTTAAATTGGAAGGTGTTCGGATTAGCCAGGTGTTCAGATATACAGGTTCTACTGTATAGGAAAAACTGCTTCTTTCATTTTAAATGCTGTATTCTTGGTTGTTACAGCACAACCCATTTTACATTGCATATCTCAGTACTTCATTAGCTTGATTGATAAATTGATAGGTAAATACAGTATACCCGTAAGACTTAGTGATCATTTCGGTAGTTCATTAAAGGAAGGCACCATGTTCGGACACAGCCTCCGAGTTCTGTCAGCCTTATTAGTCATTGCATAATAGGTTGGCTAAATGCCATGTTGATTAGGATGTAGCTAATTATATAAAGTGGCTATCTTAAATTTCATAATACAAGAGTTACCTAATTTGGTACACTTTAGCTTTTACATTCATGTCTATCTTTCATGCACTTCTTAGTTCACATTGTCTATATTTAGAGTAAATACAGAATGGCCCAGAAAATATGCAACCTCTATGTGGTGAAATAATTAAATTTGTAAATAATGATGTGTTGATAGAGTAACAGTCACCTATTTACATGTACATATTGCATTGACTTACAGATTTAAAGATATCACATTTTTCATATAGGTTTGCTCTCATGGTAAAAATAAAAATATTCAGATAGTTATATAATAAATTTTATAAAAAATAATTTGAGTCACTTATAATCCCACCTATCGAAGTTCTGGGGGGATATAGGAAAGCCATTTGTCCATCCCTTCATCTTTCCATTCGTCCATCCGTCTGCTCATTTGTCCAGGTGATAACTTTAATACCAATTGACAGATTTTATTCAAATATAAAAGCTTATGGGTGTAGGCCACCATTTTCGAAAAAATGCAACAATAGCACCCTTGATTTCGTATTGTTACATCAAAATGTTGTTTTTTTTCTAGTATACATAGTCAACTTATTGAAGGAGATATTCTACAACCACTAACAATCACTCCTGAAGGTTCGCGATCCCATGCTGAGGGGACCTGTCATTATGTAACTCCTGGGGGCGTCAGCACACTAGTCAAATATTTCTTGAAAAAGTCAGGTATTAAGATTGTGTTTATTTTTATTAGGCTTAAGGAATTAAGGGAAAGAGGGTGTGAAATTTTAGAAGCAATATTTTGAAAACCATGCCAAAAATGTTTTGGGAATTGAGAATGTACCTGTTCACATACATACAGTGTAGTACTAAGTACTGTGCACTGTATAAAAGCTATTGAAGTTAGAAGATACACCAATGTCTAAATTCATTAGAATTAAAGATAGTACATCCTCTTTTAATTTTTACAGATGAACCAAAAAACAAAGAATTATCCTGAAAAATCTGAACTGTTGGACATGACATGATGAAAACAAATAAAATGCAACAACTTTTTGAAACTACTCCATATTCACTCCATATTGCTTCTATTCCCGTTAACCAGTTGTTTTTTATTCATATCCTACTATATTTAAAAACTGAATGTTCTGTTAACCACAAGCTCTCCTATAAATGCCTATTAAATCAAAGTTTTAGTAGACTTTTATTTTATATGCAATTAGGCTTATGGCCATTTTATATTATATTCATTTTTGACGTATTATTTTAGATTCCTGTTCGTTATTATAACATACCATACAGGAAGTAGAAATGTCATTTCGCTCTATATCTGAAAATGGCCGCTTTAGCTATAAATTATTGAAGATACATAAAAAATGTTTAACTTGAACTTTTTTAACTTTGTTTAACTATTTTGTATGGTCAGATACCCTTTGCCTCTGTGGCTCGGTTGGGTTCGATAGCATGGCGGGTATCGTAGAAAGTTCCCTTTAACTTAAATTACATCTGTTTAAGTGGTTCAATATTCATATAACCCTTATATGTATCTAATAGTTATGCAAATTAAAATATGTCCAGTAAAAGAAAATGTTATCTGTCCAAGACACGAAAAGATATTTCACTTCTTGTGATTTTGCAACATGAGGTCTATGGAACTAGAACTTTCAAAGTTGATAAACAATTTTCGAAACCATATTTCTAGATGAACTTTTACATGTAGATTTCAAATGTGACATCACTACTTTGACTGAATTTTGAATATTTAATGACGAAAATCTAAGATTATTTCTACTCGCATCTAGTCTATTCTAATGAATTTAGACATTCTTTCATCTTAAGAGACAAGGGGAGGGAGAATTTATCAGTTTTATAGCAGGGTTTGCATGTATTCTACTATTTGGTAACCAGCCTGAGTCACAAATATTGAGGTAATATTTTTGGTATAAAAATAAAGCTATTTGGGGTCACTATTTCATATCACAATATTTTGAAGGAACACAATGTAAATACATGTAGCTACATGTAAGTGTGTTCAGTAATTTTTAAGTGAGTTTTTGAGTTCAAGTATAAAATATATAAAATATAAAAGAAATTTCTACTAACTTTATGGGTCACATACTATTAGAAGCAGGCTTCTTATAAAGGAGTTAAAAAGGATTTAATATTGACAGTTGTCCAAGAGGAAGCCAAACAGGCACATTTTGAAGGTTAATTTCACCTGAATAAAAGTCTAAGAGACCAGGGAACATCGTTAAAGTGAAAAAGTATCCTAATGAACAGTGAATTTAAATTACAAATAACATAATTGTACATTCAACTGATCAGGATTTAGTACCAGGACATTAGTGTCTCAAATATCTATAAATTCCGTAGTCACTTTACAAACACAAACTTTGTCAACATAGAAAATTTTCTCATACACTTTAATTCTTTCTTATTGATTCATTAATAATAGGATGCGTAATTTCTAAGAATCTCTCTATAGACTCTTGATCTGCCAAGTTAATTACATAAACATTGAAATGAAGATGCTCACATTGACTGAGATTGCATTTGAGACCATATTGACCTTGATAGGAAGCCGAGAGATATTTAATATTGATTTGAATTAATGAATATAGATTACGACAATACTAAAAGGGTTATCAAACTTCCATTTAGATAAATGTTACCATGGTCACCTGGGGAATGACAAATTAAGTAATCTGACCAGTGTGAAGCGCTCAGAATTGTGTATAGAAATTTAATTCCTGGAATGGACATTATTCATGTTCATATCACAGACTGGATGTAGCATTGCAGAAATTTTTACATGTTTTATACTTTTGGCAACCAGTAAAAATCCAGATCTGCATTGTACTTTTTGCAAATTTTTATAAGGTATACTTTGTGATTTTATTTTCACAATATTGTATTTTTCATAAAATTCAAGTTTTCAATAGAAATAACACAGTATTTTCTTACATGTACTTTTGTGATGAAGGCTTTATATTGTTGATTGCAGAATGCCCAGTGGAGTTCAACCAACATGTTAACAATATTAGCAAGGTAGATGATGGATTGAGGGTGACCACACAACAGGGAAAGATGGAGCAATTTGACTCTGTGGTGATTACCATGCCTGCTCCACAACTATTGCAGCTTAAAGGGGATGTAGAAACTTTTGTAGGTAATTATGTGCATTTTATCTCGTAAAGGGGATGTTGAAACTTTAAAGGTAATTTTGTGCATTTCATCTTTTTAAGGGGATGTTGAAAACTGTATAGATAATTTTGTGCATTTCATCTTGTAAAGGGGATGTAGAAAACTTTATAGGTAATTTGGTGCATTTCATCTTATAAAGGAGATGCTCATCTTGGAAAGGGGATGTTGAAACTTTTGTAGGTAATTATGTGCATTTTATCTCGTAAAGGGGATGTTGAAACTTTAAAGGTAATTTTGTGCATTTCATCTTTTTAAGGGGATGTTGAAAACTTTATAGATGATTTTGTGCATTTCATCTTGTAAAGGGGATGTAGAAAACTTTATAGGTAATTTTGTGCATTTCATCTTGTAAAGGGGATGTAGAAAAGTTTATAGGTAATTTTGTTCATTTCATCTTGTAAAGGGGATGTTGAAAAACTTATAGGTAATTTTGTGCATTTGATCTTGTAAAGGGGATGTTAAAACTTTTGTAGGTAATTATGTGCATTTCATCTCGCAACGGGGATGTTGAAACTTTTGTAGGTAATTATGTTCATTTTATCTCGTAAAGGGGATGTTGAAACTTTTCTAGGTAATTATGTGCATTTCATCTTATAAATGAGATGTAGAAAACTTTATAGGTAATTTTGTGCATTTCATCTTGTAAAGGGGATGTTGAAAATGTTATAGGTAATTTTGTTCATTTCATCTTGTAAAGGGGATGTTGAAAACTTATAGGTAATTTTGTGCATTTGATCTTGTAAAGGGGATGTTAAAACTTTTGTAGGTAATTATGTGCATTTCATCTTGCAAAGGGGATGTTGAAACTTTTGTAGGTAATTATGTGCTTTTTATCTCGTAAAGGGGATGTTGAAACTTTAAAGGTAATTTTGTGCATTTCATCTTTTTAAGGGGATGTTGAAAACTTTATAGATAATTTTGTGCATTTAATCTTGTAAAGGGGATGTAGAAAACTTTATAGTTAATTTTGTGCATTTCATCTTGTAAAGGGGATGTAGAAAATTTTATAGGTAATTATGTGCATTTTATCTCATAAAAGGGATGTTGAAACTTTTGTAGGTAATTATGTGCATTTCATCTTATAAATGAGATGTAGAAAACTTTATAGGTAATTATGTGCATTTCATCTTGTAAAGGGGATGTAGAAAACTTTATAGGTAATTATGTGCATTTCATCTTGTAAAGGGGATGTTGACACTTTTGTAGGTAACTTTCTTTCTTTTAGTTTGCCCCTTGTTCTTTTTGAGGTCTCAATGATTTCACCTGCAGAGCATAACTAGATCTCTATTGGCTATTTGCCCCTGCTTTGCTGTTTCAAGCATTTTAATCATCTAGCCTACATGTATTTGAAATTTCTGTTCATTATCCTCTCAAAAAATTCTTTACATCTGGCAGCAGTGTTTCAGGGTTGAAGCCATATTATATCACGTCACATTTAGACTTTTTGCATGAATGTCCTAATTTGTTGTTTTCCAGAGAAAAATACTGAAGTTGCAAACAATCTGAAAGCCGTGACTTATTCATCGCGCTATGCTTTAGGTCTTTTCTATCCTCCTGGTACTGAACTTAACCTTCCATTCATATGCAAATACTTCTACGAGGACCCATGTATTAGATTTGTCTCCATTGACAACAAGAAGAGGAACAGTGGTCAGTATTTTGAGTGTTTTATGATTATACTATATTAGTACATGTATATTAATTTCATTGGCTAGTTTATCAGTTTGTATATCCATGCATCAGAGATGAGCATTTTTAAAAAGGGAAATGAAAACAAAATGAAGTTTTGGTAACGCTGTTATGGGACTGTAATACTATTGTTACAACATGAGAAGTAACAGCTGGGAACCAATCAAATTACACCTATCTATTTAGTCCATAAACATTGATTTACCTCATTTTCATTCTTGGAATTTCTTTTGTCATGTTGATTAAAGGAAAGTATCTGATGGATTATAGGACTTCCTCTGCTCTAGTGACACCATTCTTAACCATTAGGGTATATCAATTCCCATTAAGACCATTGCATAAGTGTAGATATTGATTTGTTGATTAACTGAGTTTCACACACTAATTAGGTTTGCATATTTATCCCATATATTTCTAAGTGGACAATATATAGTTACCAAATCAAATGAAATTACAATAGGGATAGAGAGAAGCCATATGTTTGTCTGTCTGTCCATCCGCCTGCCCACCTGCCTGCCTGTCCCTCTGTCCTGTTAATGATAAAAGTTAATGGGTTTGGTTCATATCTAATATGATGGTACTGTGATGACATAAAACCTTTTCTCAAGAAGCAGTTCCTGATGTGGTCACCAAAAATGGCCATCATTTTTCGTAAAAAGTGTGATCTTTACTAAATCAAATTTCAGTTGTCTTTGATTCAAATATATGCCGATGCAGCCAAATAGGGCTTCTGCTCAAGAAAAACTTTTAAAGATGGTAGGTGAATTCTAAATGGGAACATTTTTCAAAAAAATGTAATTTCCAATAACTCAAAATCTTGATATTGGATATGGTCCAAATAGAATAAAATGCCTCATGAGCAAAAGTATCTCTGTTTCTTTGAGAAGTAATTGCCATTATGGCCACTCAATCAACATTTGCTTCAGATTTTAAATGCTGATGCCTTATGGGCATAGGACTCATGAAGACAGGATGGATTCAATGAATTTGAAAATTATCAAGAGAGAAATAGGCTTGCAAGTAATATACCTTTAATCATTTTACATCGCAATTTCCAGTTAGCCCTGATGTAGGACCTTCCCTCTGTATTCACACCAGTGTTCCATTTGGACTTAAACATCTAGAGGAGGATAAAGAAAATGTTCAACCAATCATAATGCAGCATGTCAGATCTCTTCTGCCCCAACTTCCAGAGCCATCTAGTGTTAAATGTCAGAAATGGAGATTTTCTCAGGTGGGTAATTTGTATTTTCCATACAGAATATTATAAATGAATTCAAGGTTGTAGATCAAGGAATATGTAGCTTGGGGAATATGTAGCTTGAGGAATATGTAGCTTGGGGAATATTTAGCTAGGGGAATATGTCCCACTGATATTTTGTCATAGTCTCGCTTCAAGACCCTGGACTCCCCCCCCCTTATCTACTTTACATCAGGCCTGTTGTTTAAGGAGATAAGTCGGGGGGGGAGAGAGTCAGGGTCTTGAACCTGTTGTCACTGGCAAGTTTCTATTCTGCATTTCACCCATGGGAGCTTCTATGCATTTCAACACAGACTAATTTGAGTCATGTTGGAATACAGTGTTGAATTCTAATGGTAATATAATAGCACAGGCTAGGATAGCTATTCTTTAGGGATGTAGAATAATTTATTGCATATTACCTGTTATTCTAATAGGCAATAAAATCCACTCATTAATGTTTATTTTACATTTCATATAAAAAGCCTGTGATGGCATTAATTTAATGCCAAATATCAATGAAATTACAGACGCCATTAACTTTATTAATGAGGATTGAAAGCTTGAAATGTCAGGTTAAAAATATTTCAATTTATCATGCTACTGGCTTTTTCCAGGGATATTGTAAGGAAAGGAAAAAATTGTACTGACCAGAATAGGTTGTAATGGATTGTATCCACTGGGAAAATTTCATTGTATTGTTATTAACATTTTGAAGGATGATCACTGAAGGCTAACAATTTTCACACTTCACTCTTCTCAGAAATAGTTTTTGAAATCCCAAGGGCCAACGATGAATGTCAAGACTTTTAACAAGGCCGCCTAGTTGCTAACAATATTATTAGTTCAATCTTAAGTGAGATTTGAATTTCTGAGAACTCTAGATGATTTTGAAAAATAAATTGGTCAATTTGAAGCAAGTTAAAAAAATACTTATTTGGCCCTTGGAAGGTCATTGAAGGTGAAATCTCAAATTAGATTTGAACTTCTGAGAACTTGTAGATGATTTTGAAAAAATGGTTAATAACGCAGATGCGAGTAGGTAGTTACCAGTTTCACCACTAGGTGGCTCGATCGGGTCAGATAGCATGGTGGGTATATAACTCTTATGTATCTAATAGTTATGCAAATTAAAATATGTCCAGCAAAAGAAAATGTTATCTGTCCAATACAAGAAAAGATATTTCACTTTTTGTGATTTTCTAACATGGGGTCTATGGGGAATCAACCGAACAAGAAGTCACATTTTCAAAAATAAATAAATTTTCAAAGTTTATTAAAAACTTTCAAAACCATATTTTTTTTATTTGAGAAGGTCATTGAAGGTCAAATCTTTTTTGACCTTGAGAATGTCATTGAGGGTCAAATCTATAGTCAGATTTGAACTTTTGTTCAATTTGAAGCAAGTTGAAAAAATACCTTTTTGACCTTGAGAAGGTCATTGAAGGTAAAATCTTAAATCTAAAGTCAGATTTGAACTTCTGATAACTTGTAGATGATTTGGGGGGAAAATTGGTCAATTTGAAGCAAGTTGAAAATGTAATTGAAGGTCAATTCTTAATTGTAAAGTCAGATTTGAACTTCTGCAAACTTGGAGATGATTTTGAAAAAAATTGAAGTCAGTCTAAATAGTATTTGTTAAGTTATTGGAAGTTTTAAGAGTTTATTACAGATGCCAACCACCACCTGATGATTGCCAACTGCCAACCACTGCCACCAAAAAGCGAAGACCATAACAATGTCAACACTTTTTAAACTGCATGTTTGTGTCCAGGGAGTTGGATGGGTACAGATGTATGTCCCAGACCTTAGCAATAGCAGCCTGCTCCCTAGACTTTATATATTCTCTACAAAAGATGAGGGACATGAAGCTCAAGTTTCATGAATGATCTATCACTTTCAAGTCATTTTTCCCTATTCACATTCTGCTTGATTAATATCATCATTCAAACAAGCTGTCTTTGTAAAATAGAATATTTGTCAATAATGTCTAAAAATATTGTTATTTCAGGTGTTCAAAGAATACAAAGATGCCCCAGGTTGTGTAGTGTTAAATGAGAGCCCTCTAGTGGTAGCCGGTGGAGACAGCTTCTCACATTCTAACATGGATGGGTGTATTGCATCTGCTAAAGCTATAGTAGATGTTATAAATAGTAAATTATGAGATCACAGTCAATTAAGCAATAATTCTTCATAAAAATACCTGTACATCTGTAGTTCAATGAATAGACAATGCTGTTTGCCCACATAGTAAAAAATATTTCAAATTCATGCTGTACACTTCCCCCCTAGTCATACATATATGTAAATGTAAGATGTTAATGAGCTAATTAATTTTTTCGCAATCTACTACTATGATGCATATTTTCTAGACTGTTAACAGCCTAACTTGTACAGGCTGGTATCTAGCTTTTACCAAGGAAAGGGGGATTCTCTTTTTAAAAAATTCCAAGGGGTTCTCATTTTGAACAACGTTGGCCCATAAATGGCCAAAATCACTTGGAAAGTGCTCAGAATGGTGAAATACTGCATGCTTTTGAAAGAATTTTAGCCAGGGGGTGGCTTTTACCAAGGTTACATTTTACCCCCCCCCCCTTCCCGTAACATGGTGAAGATATCTTGGCAATGTAATGTCTAATTAAGACAATCTGTGTTCTGTGTTTTCAAATATGTTCGTGTTCTTAACACATTTGAGTATTCAGGGGGGACATGTTTGTGATTCTGATATTTTTCACTGTACAGTACATGAATATACATATACACTTGCCGATTTTGCACTCTATGTTGCCATGGCAACCATGATAACCATCATGTATTTATTATATTGAATGATACAGGGTGAGCTATAAATAAGGGGTAAATATTTTTGATAATTTACACACATGTACAGTATATATATGCCTGATGATATTACATTTCAAAAATAAAAATCTGTCAAATAATAAAAAAAATTGTTATGTTATGTAACTTGCAACTAGCCACAAGTGCAAGGTATTCTGGTTTTTATGTCACCACCCAGAAGTGGTGAAATATTGTTAGTCTCTAACTTTTTCGTGTTTTGTATGTAACAAATGACAGGTAGTGATATTTTGCATGTGAATACCTTGTTTAGTTTATTTTTGAAAAAGACCATAAAAGTACAAGTAATAACAATGCAATACACCTGGAATTTGAAATGCGTCTGAACTGTGAGACAATGCACACTTCTTGGGATCCCGAATCCCCTTTCATGGAAATAACAAGGCATGAACATTCAAAATGTCACCACCTGTCATTTGTTACAGATGCCAAACACATTTGTAACAGATGCTAACAGACCCCTACAGAATGCCATCCACAAAAAAGTTGGAGACAACAATATGTCACCACTTTTGGTAGCTACATAAAAATTATCTATATTTTGTCTACTAGATGGTGCACCAGCACGATAGCTAGAAATCTATATTAACACCATCAATAGTGCTTGTTAATGGCTACTAGACTAAAGTAATTTATGTAGAGAAATTTCCAACTTTGGAGAATATTTATTTTCATGTTGCATTTCTTTTTTATTATTAGTATATGTTTGGTTGAAATTATTGTTGGAAAATGAGGTATCTGTAGTGTCTGTTTATTGTTTTTGTATGGGATTTTAAACAAGTCAAAAATGGATAGATTCGTAAAGAAAATTGATTGAATCGTGATATAGAAAAATTGCAGAATTTAAATTTTCACCTTGCAGTATTTCCTTTTTTCTTTCAGAATTCTGATTATTTTCATGCAGAAAACTAGTATGTTTGACTTGTTAACTGCATCTTCTAAAATCAAAACAACAGTAATTCTACATTTTTTAATGTATATTTATTTGTAAAACAACAATAATCATCAACTTTATTAATGTATGGATTTACATGTATGATCCAAGATTTCCAAAAATCAGAAAAAACTGAATCTACCTTTTTCCGCACATCATACTTGGAATTAAGTATATGATTCATATACAGGTATTTTTGAACATACATATGTATATTTACATTGCATGTTGCCATGGTAACCCTATACTGTATCTATATTATGGAATGCTTAACATCTTTGAGTTAGTGAGGTTCTACACCAAGCACCAGTTTACATTTATACTCCTATAAAATCTAGGCCTGTTGTATGAAGAACTGATCACATGCATTTGCATAATCTTACTAAGAAAGATGGCGCAGTATGAGTTTTGTTCTATTAAATTATTTGATTGCACTGTTTACCACATTCTGTGTTCCTAGTTTTCTAGCACACATGTTTTTCTTCCACGCATCTTACCACAAACATTTCTTTACATTTTTTTATAGAAACTATTTACAAAGCTATCAAAACAATTAAATTGTTTCCTGAATTAAAAATTTACAATGTTTTAGCTGTATATTATTTGAGTATTTTGAGGATTGTTTTATGCCTTTTTTCAGTTACCATTTTATAATAATTACTAAATGAGGTCATACTTTCCCACATAGTTGTAATGAAAATAAAATGAAATTAAAACACACATATTGGAAGTTAACAGTCAGTGTTAATTAATGATATTTTTTCTCAAATGAGCAATAATCCCTCTATAACTCCCTGGCACATTTTACTCCACTGCTTACTTGATGGAGTTGTCTTTAAGTAGTAACATGTGTTGACACATCTAAACATATATCTAAGAAAAGAAAGAAACTCAAAATGAATAACTGATCTGGTGATATGTGAAAATCCTAATATCAGTCATACACATCATAACTCATCCTTGGACGGATCAAACTTAGAGCATCGTGATAATATTCCCTCTCCTCTGCATAGATAGTCTTCAAACTTTACAAGTGATTTTGGATTCTTGGTGTAGGCCTCATAGATCTCATCCTCTCCTATTTCACCTACATAGTCATCACACATGGCCATCAATCTGGAAAAGGAAGAAATGAACATCAACTTATGAGGTAAAGTTAGATGTGGCATTGTTGGGCAAGGGGTATTCCCAAAAAGATATTTTTGGGCATGGGGTATTCCTAAAATGAATTTTTTGGCATAAGGTGTTCAGAAAAGCAAATTTTTGGCATGAGGTATTCCTAAAAGGAAATTTTTGGGCATGAGGTATTTCTAAAAGGGCAGTTTTGAGCATGGGATATGGGAAAGGAAAGGAAATTTTGATTTCACTATAGACTATACCAAAGCCTTTTAATTGGAATCACTTTTGACACATTGGAACACAAATACTGTGTAGTCTGGTAGTGTACATGGATCTTCCAGACATTTAAATTAACTACATATTTAAAAGCATTTGTCAGATGATTAAGCCAGACATTTTTTTTACTATAAAGTAACTTTTAAGATCGTTAAAGTCCCCGTCTAAAGTTTGAAAATATTTTTTTATCATTCATTTACTATTTGTCAGGACTTAAAAAGTGATTTTAGAGATTTTTGAACAAAAAAGATTTTTTGAAAAAAAGTTGTGAGCATTTCATTTCTCAAATATTCAAATTTCCCGCCATTTTTTAAAAAAAGTTGAAATTTCTTAGAGAGTGAAACCAGAACCAATTGCAAGTACTTAAACAGCAATCAGCAAAATGCCTACGCTCCTAACATGTGCAGTGTCACTTGTTCGTTTAACGTTCTAGAGACTGTACGATATAACGATGAACTAAACCAAAAGACATTCATGGCATGTATGGACAGTACCCGGGCCTACGATTCGGTGTGGCACGATGGCCTCTTTTTCAAACTTTACAACATTGGAGTAACAGGTAGACTATGGCACATCCTAAGGAAGCTGTATTCAAGAATGCAGGGTGCCATTATTTTTAAGGGCAACATTAGCAGTTGGTTCCCTGTAAAGCAATCTATCCGTCAGGGAAGTATTCTTGCTGGCTGGCTCTACACAGTGTACATAGATGAATTATTATGCAACTTAGAACGCTCTAATATATGCACACAGATGGGTACCATATTATGCGGAAATCCAACTTACGCCGACGACATCTCTATTCTGGCCAACACTAAGTTTAGCCTTGATAAGCTGATCAAAAGTGCCATAGCCTATTCTAAGAAATGGCGTTTTGTTTTTAATCTGCAAAAATCCAACGTTATCACTTTCGGTGAGTCTAAACACCAAAATTCCCAATTGATACAAAAACGCAAATGGATGTCATCTGAGGGAGAAATAATTGAAGTATCTTCACTCAAACACCTTGGTAACATATACGATTCAAATCTCAGTTTGAATAAAGCTGTAGATAGAGCAGCTTCATCCTTGAAAACAACTTTCGCTTCACTCGTTGGAGTTGGGGTTCACCCAAAAGGTCTAAACCCTCTAACTGGCTTGAAGCTCATTAACACTATGTGTATCCCTTCCGCCCTACATGGTTGCGAACTATGGAATGAATTAACAGCCTCCCAGTGCTCAGTGTTACAACGGGCCTATAGATTTATCCTTAAGCGTTTGCAAGGCCTATACAGATGCACGAAGACTGATATTGTGCTTGGACTTTTAAACTGCAAAGACATTCTTCAAATTATTGAATTAAGAAAATTATCCTTACTTGGGCGAATCTGCAACATGGGCAACACTGTCACAAAGAACATTTTCTTATTTCGTGCACATCTATGCAGAACAGAAAATGTTTCTCATAAACAAAAAGGTTTCATACCAGATATCCAGAACATACTTCAGAAGTACAGTCTAAATGAATACTTAGAAACATTTTTAGATGACGGGTATTTTCCCCCAACAAAACTATGGAAATTGATTTGTAAAAATAACGTTCGAATACATGTTGAAACTACCACAAGCACACTAAGGTTGGCCAAAGACGAATTATCAAACAATATCATATGGACTACTGGTCAAAAACATCCGCATCTTTTAGAATACTGTTACGTATTGAATCTGTTAACATGTAATTACGTTAAAAACACTCCATGAATAATGGGAAAATAAAGATATAATATAATAATCATCAAATATTTCTTAATGCATTTCAAAAAAGATTATCTTTTTAACACCAATGCAAAGATTGAACAAAGGACACACTATTTCAATAATAAAATGCCATATTTAATGGGCCACTTCAATGTTTTAGCATATCAAAAATATTTTGAAACATTAGTGATGTCACTAAGGTAGCAAAAACTTTTTGAAAAAAATTGAAATTTTTTTTTCGATGCCAATCTTTTCTAAATATGCTAGACTTTCATAAAAAACCAATGTTGATTGTCTAACCAGGTTAAAAGGAAGAATAAATTATGTTTTAGATATCATTGTACCATTGGTTTCTATGAGAACTAAAATTTTGAAATGCATTTTTCTCAGAACCATTTTCATGCACTGATTAGTTCATTTTATCAACCGATTTTCTTAATTTTTTCGGCAAAAAACATGGGAGGGTGTATGCTTTGCATTGGTATGAATTGTGGCTAATTAGAAGATATGAGTGACCTCTAAAAGTTGGTTTCGAATAAATTCACAAATTTTGGAACAAAAAGTCTATCAAAAACCACTTTTTGAAATTAAAAAAAAAGTTTCACATATGATACTTTGATAACATTGGGTAAGACTACAATATAAGCCAAAGTGGTTTAAACTTTACATGGGGCCTTTAAGATGGTATTACCACTGAAGGTGTTAAATTATCTGTATAGTCAGAGAATGGTATGGCTGGCTGATAGGGGTCCAGAGTATAATAGCTTTGGAGGTCATTTTTATGTTATGTAATATCCTGTGCAGGAAATGTCATATATATTTGACATAAACACTGGGTTATAATACCAAAAGATAAAGCCACAGAATATGTTTAATAAAAAGATTTATAGAATGTGAACCAACCTTGCAGGCCACTTGCCTCCTCCCTGCATGACACCTGGTATATCAGCTGTTTCTAGTCCTGGGCCAGAGAGACGCTTCACCCTGTTCACCTCCTTGACTCCATAGCTGAAATAATACATAAAACAAGGCATTAAAATCCAAAATGTCACCACCTGCCATTTGTTACAGACACCAAACACCATCTGCCAAATGCTGATCACCCAAAATGACTTATCAAAGGCATTCGTACAGGTTTTACTTTACAAAAGAAACAAAGCTCATCCTATATATGGGACTACTGTTACATCATGAGAGTTCGCAGCCTTCTTTCAGTAACCTTTTTAGAATCTTTCTTAGCAAGGCTTATAGTCAAGGATATTGGAATTCCCCATTGTGCTGGTAAATGTAGTACCAAGGACAGATACATTGGCCAAGGGATTGATCCCAATATCCTGAAAGAATGTTACTTCAGTTTATAAAGCTTGACACATTCAGACAGGGATAAATTTGTTTTATAGTAACAAATCATATGATAAAACAGCATTGAAGGACACGTTAAAAATTCTACGCAAGGACTTCAACATGTGACTATTTAGTAACAAGCCACATACCACCATTGGCAACCATGCTTATGTATTCCACCAAATGGACAACATTATAGACTCAAACCTAAATCAACAATTGAAAAATCAAAAATCAATACTCTCTCACAAGAAAGTACCAAAGTGAAAACATATTCTCAAACAGCCATTTGAATAGCAATTTTAAAGAATTTGATTTATTTTGCCACCTGGAACATAAACAAATAAATATTGATCTATTTTAACGTTGACGCACATAATATTTTTGACAGGAATTCTTTTCAATATCCTTTCAAACAGAACAAAGTACAAACATTGAGTCAACAATGAATAACATTTACGCAAGAATCAAATTCTTTGAAAATACATGTCACTTCGTTGGCTTCCCATCACTTAAAAGTAACCCGAGGCGATAGCTTAGATATCTGCAAACACTTTTCTACCTTTACAATGTAGTTAAATCATTGTTGTTCGTTCCTATTAGTTCATTACTGCCTTCAAGACATACATGAAACAATATTCAACCATGGCCAAATAGTTTCAGCCAATCAGAATGCTCACTTACTGTTCATTATTAGAAAACAATGAATGTTTTTTGGTGAATATCTGCATTAATTGTTCAAATCCGTGACATACTGGTACTATATCAAGCCTGAATCAAGGGGCCATTATTATGACATCATTCCTAGGTCAGGATGAACTCAAGTAAACTCAGCGCAAAGTACGAGAGGCAACTCCAAAACACGTAGAAAACCCTATTGCACCTCAGTCCAGTCAATAATGGGAATGTGGATCAAAATTTTTAGAATGTCCATATTAGTCTGTGTGCCGAAAATCTAAGAATATATACATGTATGATCGTGAACTATCACCATGTTAAAAACCCATTAGTGATTTGACTACCTTTAAATCTTCAAATAACAACCACCCATACTAAAAGTACTACAGGCAGACTAATCCCAGGTAATTTGAAATGATCGAATGCGACAAGGTGTAGAAAGTACAATAAATGTTTGTTTTTTAATCAAAAGATAATGGTATAATATTTCAAGAAAAATCAGATGTTTGATCCAGTTATTTAACAATTTCAAAAAGAATTGTTTGTACAAAACATAAAAGGACATCAAAAGCCTAAAGCACAAACAAATCATTCCATAAAATCTATGGAATAAAAACCATTATTTGAACGTTTTGAATTGATTAAAGTGCTTTACATAATAATGATGAATATAAAAAAAACAACTATTCTTATAAATGTTCTTCTAGTACTACTTATGTACATAACATAAAAAAAATTAAATGTGCTTTTCAGTTTTTGAGATATCCAATGTTTCAATGTTTCAATATTTCATATATTCAACATTCATTCAATATGTGTTTCATCATTTCTTCAATATGTTCATGGGGATTTAATGGTTTCAATGGTTAATACCTGATTGATACCTGTATTTATTTCTAGTCACATGGTTTGTGATTGACCAATGAGAGAACGAGTATCACAGCATGGAAATATTAACAAATGGTTATTTTATATTTTATACTTCATAGTTTTATCAAGAGATGGGTTTATTAAATCTTTTCAATTATACTTACTCATCATATTTGTACTGACAAACTTGCTCTATTAGGTCCAGGTAGTCAGATTCCTTGATCTTGTACTTCAGAGACGGGCGTATGGAATTGAACTGGTCAAACTTAGTGTACAGCTGCAAATATATAATTAACACATTATTTAGCACAAATGGCAACCTTTGAAAAATGCAAAACTTAATACTGTTTTAAATATTTAATAATACATGCATGGCATGCATGCATACATGTACGGGAATCTTAATGATTAAATATTTAAACAAATTTAATACAGTATTAAGATATTATATCAGTCAATTAAGATATTTCAACTTCTTTTTCAACTGTTTAGCTTATGCTTCAACTTTAATCAGTGTAATGACCTATGCTCATGGGTACTTTATTAATATGTATATTTTGCAAAGTGAAATGTATTCAGGTTTGGTATGAATGAAATTATTTAGAGTTGATAGACTTACAAAAGCCTATTACAATATTTTGGAACCCTATGTATTTAGGTAATTCTATGAGCTAAATCCAATATTCAATAAAATTATACGAGAAATCAGTTTGAAAGATTAAAGCTTTTGCACCCTGAAACACTGGCGTGAAACTTACTCCTTATTCAATATTCACTTCTATAACTGGTAATCCAGATTTACATAAATACAGTATAATGGAATAAAACACAGCTTTCTTAACTCAACATAATTCCTTTTACTCATGTCATTGATTTTCTTTCAAATGTTTCTGGCCATTGGTTCAAACAGTGGGTTACAGACATACAACTATAAGTAAATATATTTTAGCTTATTTACACAAGTTATGCTCGATTCAAAGACTTCATACTTAGCGAAAAGGTCTTGAATTTCTACAGAAAAATATTGATGTTTTAATGTCAACAAGAATTTGAGTGAGTAATAACGTTGGCAGAATGTACCCTAGTTTATAACATGAAACAAACGGAAAGTGAACATGTTTCCTTACATGTTGAAACATCTCAGCTGTTTAGATGTATAAATGGTAAGTTAATAATTTAATATACATTGTACTAAGAAAGTAGATTTAAGCATTAACATATATTATAATGATGAAGGATTTTGTGAATTGATAAAGTAGGATTTACCTAAGAATTACAATAGATTAATTATTATGTCAAATTACATATATAATGCTGGTTAGGGTTTTATATAGTCAAACCATACAGTGAAGTACATATTTATTTCAAATCATATCATGACATAATATAAATACATGTAAACCACTTCTTCTAGGTTGTACAGAGCAGTGAGTATGCAGAGTGGAACACGTCATACTGAATCCCCTGAACCTCACCGCAACATGGATTATAAAGAAGTGCAAGATAATGGACAGTATATTCAAGAGAATAATGGATATGATGAACAAAGTACAGCTTATCATTCAAATCATAGACAACCAACTTCTTATAACCATCCAGGATACGATAGAAGCAAGAGTTTAACAAGAATGCCTCAACACCAATCGTCAAGAAACGACCAATACCCAACTGAAGTTGAATTTCAAAAACAACAGAGACAATATGCCAGAAGCCAAAGTGAATCATCCGTTGCAAGAAGAATGCAGCAACAAAATGAATATCAGGTAAAACACGGACATGAACAATATGAGAAGCATCATAATGAGGATGCAAGAGCTGGTGAAAGGAATCCTCTATCTAATATGCCAGTAGAGCATAAGAACAATCATAGACATAAATCGGATCAGACCAATGCCTATCATGCGAAACATGATTATAAACCTAACCCAGCCAAACACTACAGTGTACAAGAATATAATGGAAAGACTGATGGACAGAATTCAATTCCGAATAATCTAAATAACACAACCCATCAAGACCTTCAGAGACAGGATTACAACAGACATGGTGATCACTCGGAGCATACATTAGGGCTCAACACACATGAGCATCACCCTCCACATCTCCAACACCATTTCCATGATGGAACACATATTAACCAAAATCAGGCACATGGCGTATATAAGGAATCATCAAAAAGTACAGCTCCAATGCAGTATATTTCCACTCAAGGGCCAGGACAACAAGCACAGGATATGAGTTTTGAGCAAATAGTTGAATACAATCAACATATTCAACAACCTGTGAAAAGTGTCGATCATCCATATCAGAATGTTCCAAATATCAAACCACCCAATATTCAGAATAATAATGACAATGCTAATGATGACAGTGAGCTTGATGAACCCTACAACCCATTTGATCCTAATGGAGGTGGTGGAACATTTATAACCTATTCCGATGAAGATGACCACCCATATGAAAACAGTGAGTTCCATGAAGGAGGTCATCCATATTTTGATGACAAACCCAATCAGTTCAACAACACATATGCCCTGACACCCATTGATGATTTAGACTCATTAAATGAAGATGACCCTCCATATGTTAATGTAACAAAAGAAGAAAATGATGACCCACCCTATGTCAATATACAGAAGGATTATGATCCTCCATATGTTAATGTACCAAAAGGACCTGAAATCAACCCACCATATGAGAATATACCAAAGGGCTTGAATAAAGATGAAATTCCGGCATTTAAAAAAAATGCTAAGATTCCTCCAAATCCATTGGCTGGCCAAGCTGCAAAACAAAGCAAAGAACATTCAAGGCAAAATAATGAGGAAAATGCCAAGCATAGGTCAAAGTCTGAATCTGATGCCAAACAAAAAAACACTGATGCAGCTAACATAAATGTGGACTCCGGAAGAGAATCATTAAATGAATGTGTGAACGAAATTGATCCTGAAAGTATTGAACATATCCAGAGGCTTCAACAACTGGAACCCAGAAGGAACAGAATGAAAAATAAACTTCTCTTTGAGATAAAAACATATGAGGATGAACATGATTATAATGATGAAACTCAGAAACATACTTTGGATACAATAGTACAGCATGAGAAATCACCATCCAAATCCAAAGTTAGAGGAAAGTATAAAAGAAAATCTGAGAGCCGTCGAAGGTCACTAACAAATGATAGAGCCAACTCAATGGTTAAGGAAGATAAACAGCCCATCCACCGAGTGTCAAATGTTAAGCCAATGAAGATCAGAGATAATTCATATGACAGGATTACTCCAGATCTGAAGCAGCACAGAAAACATGTCATAAATCCAAAGAAAAAAATAGCATATGATCTTACGAAATATGAATATGGCGATTACAACATTGAACCACTTAAGACTTATAACAAGCAGTCTGTATTAGGATCAGAGGTTTCACCAAACAATCAACATCATGGATATAGCACCATTGAGCAATGTCAACAGAAACCAGCATCACCACAGGCACATGTAGCTCTAGAAGACTACCAGTCTAGCCATGGCAATTGGGCCCATCCATCATTTCTTCAACGTCATAAAACTGAAGCTGATATTACTCAGATATTTGATCCTCCCAGAACAGTGACTGGACAACCAGAAAATGGTCAACAATTAGTACAGCAGCCATATAATGGAACAGGAAATCAACAAGACATAGCTATCAATGAAGAAAATATAGATGGAGACTGCAAACAAATATACCAGTCAGACACTGCAACAACATTAACAAGCGGAGCATATGCCCCAGACGAGACAAGAGGAGACTCCTATCCTGAATATACAATAGCAGCATCAACTAGGAAGGACTATATTGGCTTCCATCAAGCAAGACAACAAAAACATCAATCATACAGAAAAACTGTAAATCCTCACAAACCTAAGGATCATAAAAAGGATGATGAATTGAGAAATGACCAAAGTGACATAAATGACAATATGAAATATAAAGATAACCATCAACATCTAGAGGGAAGAAATCAACAATTTGACAACAAATCAATCCGTACAAAACCAAAGCTCAATCTGGATTACGTATGGGAAAAACACCCATCAGTTACATCAGAAGTTACTGAAAATAACATGATAACTGAACCTGTACAGGTTCAAAACAACAAGGAGAAGCTTAACACTAGATCCAAATCTTACCAAATCAAAATCAGCAAAGAACAATATGATCTGTTTATGGATCTGCGAAGCCCGCCACTTATTGAAAATGGAAAATCTGAGCAAACGATTTCAAGCAAGGAGTATCAGATAAAGGGTATTGAACAATCAACCACTGAATTGTCAGGTTTAAGTAGTATGAATGAGAAGCCAACATACAAAATGAAGAACAAAAGCAATGAACGCAAAAGTCCAGTAAGAGAAAATGTAGCACACCATAACACTCAAGTAACAAAGATAATTCAAAGTGTAGTAGAACAACCAACACCAGTGACAAATGCTATAAGAAATATAGTACAAGAAAGACTACTGGATGATTCAACAGACACTGTTGATATGACTCTATATAATACTCCAAATGTTATGCATAAGATTCAAAGTCCTGATGTAAGGACCAACTTTGGCACTCAAACTGATTCGGATGACACAGATATGGTAGGTGAGATTAATAGATCAACAAACATTAATAGGAAACAGCAAGGAATTCAAACTGAAACTGATGATATAAATAGTCCAAACAGCAACTATATTTGCATGGACAAAATCATTAGTGTATCCAAACAATATCATGAGGCAGAGAGAAGGGACACCGACATAATTCATCAAAATACACAAATAATTGTTGCTGAAAATCAAACAAACCAGTTACAGTCTCCAAATATGAATTCAAGTACTGTGCCAAAAAGACCAGATGCCACATCTTACAAAGAGGACATACCAAATGCAACCATTGGTAACAAAAATTCAGAAAGATGCGACATAAACAGAACCAATGTGCCTATAAAAAGATACCCTGAGATAACAAGAATGGCAATGCCAATACCAGTAAAAAGTGAAGAACAAATAGAAGCCAATAAAATAATACACAGAAACCATGTCAAAGCTAGTGATGCTAAATTCACTAAGTGGGTGGAAGAAAAACAAAGGCAACATTCAGCAAAATTGGAAAAAGAAAAAAACAAGAATTTGAAAAAACACATAAAAGAGAAACCTCAAAGTCAAACAAGTCATAAAAATGATGATATTGATGGATGTGATGACAATGACAATGATAACCAATATCATGATTCGAAAAGTAAACAGCCCGATGTGAAAATACTTGCCAAAACAAAAGGAGATAACAAAAGTCTCACACAAAATGACAAGAAATATTCAGTTCCTGACGGAAATATTGATGGCTATAATCCACCTAAATCAAAAGACGACAGCAAAATGCATTACCAAGATAATGATAAGAACAAAGAACAGATGACAAATGATCAACCAGATCTAAAACATAATGACTCCAAAAGTCAAACACCTTCTGATGAGAAGAAAAACCTACCCAGACAAAACTCAGGCAAGACCCTTCTGAAGTTCATATCAAAGTATGATGTGGAAAATGAAAAAGCACAGCAGGGTATAAACCCTAAGAGAGAAAATCAACAAGATAATTCAAATATCAACAAGCCAGTGGTTCTGCAAACAAATCCGATGTCTGGTACTACTAAGATGGAAATTGATAGAAATATGAATAACCTAGATTCCAGGTCACCAACCCATTCATATATACAATCAAGATCCAAAGACAATGTCTTTAACACCAGACACACAGGTTACAGAAAACAACCTGCCAACTATATTACAAAGACAAATGATAAAATGGCATCAAATGGCTCTGAGAGACAGCAAAACACTAACAAACAATCAGAGGCAAGACCAAAGGACATGTATGTTGCGAGACATAAAACCCCAAATGATTTCAATAACAATCCTCACGGTGCTCCCAATATCCCAGTACATCTAGGTGCCCCATATAGGTACACTCCACCACACCTGGTTGCCTATCAATCTGATGAGGAGCGCAGCAAAGCAGGTACACCACCACCCATACCATTTCACACCCACCCAACTACACCACCAAGAGACTGCATCAAACCAATATCAAGTCAAAGACCAGATAATATAATGAAAAATGATGAAAGGGGTAATGCAAAAACATATAGACCAACCCAGTTAGCTACTAATAATCATCATGAGAGTAACAGACCATCCCCGACCAATCTTAATACAAGGCATCAGAATCCCAAGGACAATATGGCTGAATCAACCAAAGCATGTGTGGATTATCAGCAGAAAACACAAGATCCCCTTATGTCAATACATCAGGTAAATTATAATACACAATACTTGGACTCACCAATGAAACTTAAACAGCAGATCAGAATGAAGCAAGAGAAACCCCATGTAACAAAAGCAAAACTCTCACTTGAAGAAGCTGATAATGTAAGCCCTGACTTCAATACTCATATGGATGCCAAACGCAACAAAAGTAATCACTCAAAGGATGCTTATCAAAAGAACTATCAAATGAATAACGAATCTCAGCTGAGTCAAACAAAAGGAGCCAATTATCAAGCAGATAATTCAAAGAATCCACCCATTTTGAAAACAGACATCGTCACAGCATCAGGCTATACTAAAGCGCCAGTGAATGCTACACTTTCAAATGATACCCAAATGTCTCACACCAGCTATTTGATTCCCCAGCTATCACCCCCAATGAAGCCTCTTCCTCAGTCTAGCCCACCAAAGGTAACATCAGCAATCAGGAGAACTCAAAGGACCCCAGAGGTGAACAGAAGCTGGAGATTGATAGCAGCATCCATCAATACATCACCAGAGATGCTGAAGCTTAGAGGGAAAAGCCACTATAACCCTGTCTATACAGAACATCAGGGACATGTACGCTCAGATAGTCAGGTAAGACAACCATATTCTGATTTTTCTGTGTTTTTATATTCATCTCAAAAATGGAATTTCTAAACATCGAATAAATAAACCCAATTTTCCATAGAATTGTAAAAATTTAAGAAAGAAAATTGGCAAATATGAATTTACAAGAATTTAGGCAAAATAACCCAATTACCTAAGGTGGTTTGCATTAGCGCTGGTGAGTTTTTATTCTTCATGAGGGTAGGCAGAGGTATGACCATTTTGGGTTTGATTGTTTTTAACTGTTCAATTTTTATTCTCACCATTTCATTTCATAGGTACTCAAAGTTGTATCATCAATCTTCTTAAGTTTGTTACTACGAATGTGTATGTGGGCAATACACAGGTTTCCATTTTGTTTTGTATCATCAAAATTGGATTGACAACTGAAAATCCTTGCATCTATTACTAGTGTTGTATTGAGAAAAATTCTATACCAATAAAAAGATGGCAGTCTAGAATGTTTGTTGAGTATATTTTCTACACCAAACTGCCATCTTTATATCTGTTCAACAACTGTTTGTGAGTATTGTTGCCAATGATTCTTATTGATAGACATTTTTCTTTGTTTCTCATTGTTGAACTTTGTGTTTTCTGATCTTTCTGAGGTTGGTTATTTTTACATTTTACAATGCTAGTTGTCAAGCCTGAGCATAATATCACTATTCGGGACATTGAAGTTTGCCCAACGTGTTTTGCTTCACCATATCATTTTAGTTTTAGCTCACATGGGTAAGCTATTGTCATTTGTTCATTAGTTAGTTCATTCACTATTCCACAGACAAAAATCCCATTGTTATATATATTATAAATAATTCATGATTAAGTTTATATATCATATAAATTATAGATATGTATTCATCAAGTAGAGATATCTACATGTATACAGATACCTGCAGTGTACTGCAATCTATATCTAAATACCATAAATACCAGGAGTCATGACATTTGCATGGTTATATAAAAATTGTAATACGATCAGTGGATCTGGATTTATATATCAGCATTCATATTTCATGAAGCACGAGTCATATCTAAAATAATGTAATTTTCTAACACAGGGCTGTTTAACATATTGTTTATAGGGCCTGTTTCATTATTGACGCAAGGTATTATAATGTTTTCATCTAAAATTATAAGAAAAAATCCTATTTATTTGCATTTGTCAAAAGATACACAGTAATCACATTATTGTAAGCAGATAAGAGAAACATTTTACCCTTAGGTTGAACCAATCAAATTGAGCCAAGTATATCATACATCTATTATGAACACACAATTGTTTTGTCTGTGTTATCATTAAATATTAATAAATGAGGACACTAATCTTGAACATATGTGAAGGATGATACACCTTCTTTTGTTTATGTAGTACTACAAAATCAAGAAAAAAACAATATTCCTCCTAACAGGTAGACATGTTTTTACAAGGGATTAAATGGGATCTCCAATGTTTTCATCTTATGCTAATCCACTTATCTTTTTTACTATTTCCTGTTTTTAAAGATCTAGCACTGTTTGGTCATTGAAAGAAAAAACATTCAATTACTTTCTATGTGAATTTTTTCAAAACTATTTTCAATGATTTAATAGGTTAAGGTGCTATGGAAGTTAACAGGAAATGACAAAACAAAAAATGTCAAAACCATGCTGGATTTTTAAAAATTTTTGAACCAAGATAACAGAGTTCTGTTTGGAGCTCCAGTCAGTTTAACTAGTTCCACATATCAGCACCAATATACATGGTTTTAACAATAGCTGGCCGGCGTGTCATAAATTTATTGAATATTCTAAAAATCGCCAGATAAATCATTAATTAAAATGGGACCGGCTCAGCTCCTTGATGAGATATTGCATGATTTAGTCAGGATTTTGTCTAAAATTAAAACAAAATGGCTCCAAGGAAAATGGCGATATTAGAAAACTGGACGAAATGTCGTTAATGTCTGACATTAGCAACTGGCTGTAAATTCCAAGTTAGATGTGAACTATTACATTGATCACGTCATGTTTGTTTTGGAATTTTTGGTGAGGTAATAAGACCAATTCGAACATGATTGTATTCACGCCTTCTATAAACTGTAAACAAAGGCAACATTTCACCCGGGGTATATTCACGAACAAATCCCCTGGTAATACGTGTAATGTGTGATGTCATAACGGCGGACCATCATGAATATTCGAAACATTTTGGTTACTTTTCATGTTCGAATCGTAATACAGACCTCAGAGCAGGTGTAATATTGTCGAATACACCCCGCAGGGCTAGGCACAAACGTTTTCTGTACCCCAAACAACCGAAGGGAGTGAGGGGTTCAAAAGCTTTTGTGCCTAGCCCTAAGGCAGCAGGGTGTGTATTCGACAATATTACCCCTGCTCTTCGGTCTATATTTCTTAAAACTTGCAATTCAAATTGTGATGTGGAAAAATGGCGGACTTTTGATTTCAAATTTTATGATTACGACATGACCCCTTATACTGTACATGCAGGAATTTATCTTTGGATGAAGGCCACGATACAGTGGCCTTAGAAGAAGGTTTTAAACACAGTGAAAACTGAAAGTCATAGGCCTTTAGATCTAAAGTGGTCGGTAGGATACGATAAATTATGAGTAACATGTCATGTACCTGAAAATAACATGGGACTGGAATATTAGGAAGCCATTAAAATTTCTGAACACTCAGAACTAACTAGAAGTTACTCACTTCGAGAGCCATGTTAGATTTTGAAACTTATTATATCAATATCCACATAGCTTTCGCAGGAAGTAACCTAGAAGAACTATAAGAGTAGTCTAGTGTAATGTAAATTGTGCCCCTCCCCCTTTTCAATTTTGAACCAAGATGAATTACCTGATATGCAATTATTCTACAGCCATCACACTTCAACTGCTCTGGCATGAACTGACTATGTGCCTCTTCATCACTTAAATCAGGTGTAGAAAAGCTCAGTTTCCCAGACTTTCCATCCTCACTCTGCTCCACTTTGCCTTGGCAACGAACAAATGTCAAATTGAAACTTGACAAAAAAATTACCATAAAACTAAGAGCTAAAATGGAGCTGATTCTTTCAAGCATTTTTGGAATATTTGTGTCCAAACTGTCCCTGATGTATATGTGTTTCGCATGCACTGGTCTTTGTGTCTCTTTTTATTGTCACATCTGCACATAGATCGATTTTATTACCCCAAGTTTTAACGGTGGGCGATGATTGGGAAACAAGGAAGTAAATGCCTGAAGGACACGTGTGTGCGCAAACACCGATGCGCAATGGTTTGTTGTTGTATGAGACTGCCATCTATACAGCACGCACCTGCACTTTAAGCGGGAAAATAAATATTCAAACTTTGAACTTCTTGAAGTATATCCTGTATTCTTATCTGACAAATTTATGTGTTTTATACATAATTCAACGGTAGCAAAACTAAAAAGCACGTGTAACGCAAACAGTAAAGAAAATATATGTGGGTGTAAGGCTGTTTAGATCAGTGTCTAGATATAGTAATGGTTAATTGCGGGGAATTCAATTTTCTGATTCGATCTGTCATAATAGCCTGTCACTTCAAATAAATAGTTGGATATTAAATAATAAGAGTTGTCTATCCTCTCCTTTTCAATCCACTCACTAACAATATATTATGTAATATCTCATAACGATTTCAATTCAATAGCCTACTTTCCAATGCGCCGTGATATCAACACAACCCACAGACCCACTCCATAGAATTTCGATATTTTCAATAGAGCGAAATTCATTTTACCGTCGTGGGGTTTATTCTGTCATTCATGACTTTAATAACTATATCAATGAATAGATGATGCTGCCCTCTTCAATTATTGAGGCATTTTCAATGACTTATGCCAGAATTCAAGGCAAGATGTTCGTCAAACTACGTTCAGAAATCGGGCAATCACCACGGCAAGCCTGACAATCGTCTCAGTCCTAGGATTAACCATGGGCTTTCAACTCTAATTGAAAGCCCATGGATCAACCTAAGATGGATCTCATGGGCCGGGCTACATGGGCCAACCAGGAAATTTTATTTCAATTCTAAATTGAGTTGAAACCAAACCATAGATCTATCTTTTAAATGTAAGGTTAGAATTTTATTCTATTCAAGTTCTCACGGTTAAACTATATATCTGCTTTAAATGGGTGTTTTGTTAAAATAAGCCTTTTGCAGATTATTGCAATGATGTAGATCACTGTAGAGAATGACTGATCCCCGACTGATCCTCATCATAGAAAAACATGAAAAGCTTAACGTACAATCGTCATTCGGCCATTACAATTATAATAGTCTCCTGGCACGACAAGGGCCTGTAGGCTTATTTCTAATCGAGAAGCCTCATATAAACTCAACAAGCTATGGACATTGCTCTTTCAACAATTTCGTTTCATCAATGCATGCCGTTGACCTTTTTTAATCATATGGAAGGGATTGTGTCCCGGGGATCGTGTGAACCAATAAAGAATTATATTTTCAAATATGCAATCCTTGGAATACCGCGCCGTTAAAACCTCCAATTAGCCCTAAATAGCCCAGTTTTACTGGTTGTGATTTGGTTGTTCTCAGATTGATTTTGTTATTACAAGAATTAAAACGTGAATCTAGCCCCATTGGAATATGTTAAGATTCGTTCGATCAACCGGGTTCATTTGGGTTGGTTGTTCCTTATACCTGGCTAAGCTTATGCCTTAAATAACACATTCCGAGCGAGCCAAAAGCAATGCAGTTTTAGTAGTGACGTAAACCGGGTAAACCACTCAGAGAGGCAGAGGGTCTAATCTGTAACATAGACTAACCTACCTCAGCTCGGCAGACGGCCTACCTTACCAGCTGGGGACTATAGGTACGATCTGGCTTCTAAATCAAACGGATTACCAGGAATACCAAACCACCTTCAGGAACTTACTTTCTCCCGGGAGTATTCGGATTTTAGTCAGAGGAATATCTAAGGTGATACAAAAAGAGATGGCTGGGGAGAGAGTGGAGTTACATCTCGTTGGGGGTGGTCCCTGGGGGTTCAGACTTTTCGGGGGAGAGCAGCTACCTCTCATCGTTTCAAAGGTAAGGTTACGACGAGAGCCGACGAGTATAGCGGACTAAAAATGTCTGGAGTGTTATTCCCTTGAAATAAGTTAAAGCAAATGTCAATCGATTTTGTATACTATGTTGGAGGTAGTCAAATGTCAACCATTGTTATCAGTCTTTTATTGATTATTTGCTGACCCTAAATCAATCCATTACAACCAAGAATGTGAAGGACATGTTTATATGGTTAGATAACAATGTATTGGACGCGATGTAAAACTTATCAAAAGTTTGTTATATCTATTATGCAATTCAAAATTAATTGCCAATAATTAATTAATTCCGAAATTAATGATCGTGTAGTATCTTTAAACGAAGACACACAGTGTACATGTATTTTATTGAGTAAATGAGTGTAAGGTGAATCCCCAGGGCTGTCAGTAGTGTGTCTTGTCATTTGCTTTTACCAAATCTAATTCGGAAGATTATGTTTCATTTCATACGTAGTTGTTACATGGACTGCTTACCTTTAACTCATAAATCCCCCTAGTGTTTGTAGAGGGGCTTAGGAGATTGTGACCCAGAGTGATTTGGGAATACAAATTCCAAATCTGGATTCCCAGTTTACCTGTGATCTGAATATTACCATGAACCATAAATCCAGACAAACATATTGCTGTATTGACAGTTGTACTTATTTTACCGAATATTGGGTAACTTTTAGCTTGAAATCGTTTTAATTTAATTTCGGATGACGACTTGAACGTTCAGAAACTAACCAGAGGGTCAGAGTAACTTGAGTACATGTAAATGAGATAGATGAAGTTTTTTAATCAAGCAAAACTAATTTTTTGGAAAGGGTATCGAGAAACAGTAACACCTAATCTTGGCAGAGTGACATCTACTAATGTCAGACGCATTCCGTGTTCCACGTTCACAGATGATACGAAAACATCTCCACGGACTATCTAGCCACAACAATTTCCTTGATAAAATGAAAGTTGAAACATCTTCTCAGATGACTTCACAAAAGAGGAAATGTGTACTGTTTCCATAAACAAACCATATCCTATAACTTCCTTTGTGCACCAAAGTGCAGAACATAAACTTCCGTATAAGTCAGAGTTGGCTGCACATGCATTGGCATACACCGTGAAGGTTGCAGAAAATGCAAAGAACTGATAACAGTCAATATGGTACAACGAAAATGGGACTTCTGCGCATGTTAAAATTTTTCGTCAAAACTCAACTTTTGTTCAAGTTGATACGATTGTCTTTCGAACTAGAGACTTACCTCATTCGAAAGATCATAAAAGACTTTATCTATACTGAAAATCTTAGATCCAAACATAGTAGAATACGCCGTCAGTCCGCATTTGATTTTTTGAAGTGAGTTTCGTAGATCGTCAGATTTCTCCGACTGATATCGGGTTATCTCAAACTGGTTCGTTTATAAATACGAATTTGTTTACCGTTGTAAGGCGCATGCGCAAAATTGATTTATAAACCTTATTGGTTGATGGTTTTTCTCCTGCGCATGCGTGAAGTCTGATGAACACTTATGACGAAGACCGGAGCAAACATTACTAGCTCTTGAACGAAATTCCAAGATTCAGGTCATTTCGCCGTGTTTGCTAAGCGTGTATACGTGAATGACAAGCTGTTTTGAGTAGATCGGGTACCTGTTTTAGACACAACATTGATTTAGCTTGACATTGATGTGCACATTGGCACTTTTGAGCATGTTAATACAAGTTTTTACACTCTTAGCACGAGACGGGTTTTCGAAAAATCTGTTATCTGATTCACTCGATTATCGTATGGATATGTATTTCTGCTGACATTTCAACACCACATCACATAGAATTACGATGCAGAATGATAATAAAACACAAAACAACTACTAAATTCCACTTGTTATTTCACAGGAGGTAAAAATGCAAACTGCCTAGATTCTTTGTAAGGGTCGTCAGACATCGGATTGGCCGCCATATTTGAAATGAAAATATCACTAAATAGAGGTCTGCGCATGCCTCAACATTTCGACTGATAACACTGGATAGAGAGAAGATATTTTTTAGGACACCAAAGTCATTGACAATATAATAGTTCAATCATCAGGCCCGTAAGACACTTTTCTCCAAGGGGGGTGCGGTTTTTAGCTTACTAAAGAGAATATAAAATTGTCAATTTTTTTCCCGCGTAAATCAAATCGCGTAAGACAGAGGGGGGGGGGGGGTCAGTTACCCCCTATATTGGTTTGGAATTAACAAATGCAACTTCCAAACGTTCCAATTGTTTTGTGGGGGGTGTGAGGAGTGGTCCACTCCCCCTAGAAAATTTTACAGTTTTGAGATGCTATTTGGTGCTTTCTGGGCACTTTCAAAGTGTAAGTTTCTAAGTTAGTAGTACGCCACCACCACAAGAATAGGAGTTGAGTGAATAAAAAACTGAGCATTCAGGGGGGTCTGGGGGTTCTCCCCCAAGAAAATTTTGAAATTTGCTTGTATTTGGAGCGAATTTGGAACCATCTGGTACGCCTGTGCGTTATGGGTCGATAAGAAAAATGTGAATTTTTTCAAATTCTTTTGGGGGTGTCAAAGAGGATGAGAGGGTGAAGTTGGGTGGGGTGCCAGTAGGGGAGCAAGGGGTTGTCCCCCAGAAACATTGACCATATCAAGGTGCTATTTGATGATGTCTGGACACTTAAAAAATGTCTGAGACAATTCATGAAATTCAGAATATTTATTTTGTTTTGTGGGGGATGTGAGGGATAGCTAACTCTCCTAGAAAATTTTACAATTTAAAGATATTTGGTGCTTCTGGGCACTTTTAAAGGTATTAGTCAATAAAAACATTGAAAAACAATCACAATTTTTTTCAAATTTTTTGGGTGTCAAAGAGGGGGGGAGTAAACTTTTCCATTGTTTTGTTTGGGGTGTGAGGGGTGGCCAATACCCCTAGAAAATTTTACAATTTTAAGATGCTATTTGGTGCTTTCTGGGTACTTTCAAAGTGTATGAGTCAATGAAAAAAATTACAAAAAAATATTTTTCAAAAAAAAAACTTTTTTCAATTTTTTTTTTCAAATTTATTTTGGGGGGTAACAAAGGGGGGTGCGGTCGCACCCATCGCACCCCCCCATCTGACGGCCCTGATCATTAACCAATACAATAGG